ATTTATAAAAATACTTCACTTACATAAAAAAATTAAAAAATTTACAAATAAAAAATAAGAATAAAACTTCCCTTGAGTGTGCATAAATGATGGGATCAAATCAGTTTTCCAATACGTTTCCAAGGTTTTCCCCAATGTTTATGACTCTCGCATAAAATCCCTACAGCTTTTTCTGGACTGAGTCCAAATGCACAAACCAGGAGAGTCTAGATCAACCAGAATAAATTTTTTTAGATGCTCCTTCTCTGATAATTTCCATAAAAATTCAAATTCATATCTCCTTAAATACATATTTTATTATGATCTTATTCCTGTATCTTAAAAATCCTAGCTGAAACATGTTTCTTAAGCATTTGTATCTAATTAATCAATGGTTTAATACCACCGGACAACAATGAAGATGTTTAGGTGATGAATTTTCTTATAATTCATATAAAGCAAATAATTTATTCTTCAAAATTTAAATTTGAGTACTTTTTTTTTATATAATAATTTATTATTGAAATAAAGATTAGATAGGCATTAATGAACTTGGGTTATTACACCTCTTAGCCTAAAATAACAACAACAATTCGTCTATATTCCAAAATATAATTCTTATTGAAAATTCTTTATAATTTAATTGTTTTTCACTTCAAATATGATACCCAAATACTGTAACTTCTTACATAAGAGCTGAAATATAAATATTGTGTAAAAGCCAAAATGGCCTGTAAGTGGTTGAAAATCCTGCATTGTTATAAATAAATAAAATAAGGTAATCGGAGGTTCGGATTTTCTTTGTGTTAACATAATACAGCTAAGGACGTAAATTAAGAACGTACTGATAGTAAAATATGAATTTGTAATGTTTTTGTTGTTGATTCCCAAATATAAGGGCTGGATTAATGAAACGTTGAGTTTCGTAGGTATCTCAGTGATTTATTTTAAAGATTAATTGATGAGTAAATAAATTATTTTCCATAGCCGAAATCAGACCCAGGAGTGCCCAAATCACTGAGCTATTTGACAACATAATCTTGTCAGTTGCAAGCCATACTTAGGTCCGCGTGCACAAACTAACTTGCTACGAAATATAACACATGATTATATAATTCTCTATCTTTATAAGGAAGTCTATAACTAACTGTGGGAAAATATGAGTCGCAAGAACTTTAAGAAGAGAACTTTTAGTGATAGCGCGAAAAGCAGGTAAGAGGGTGGCAACTTTCCTATCGCCTTCTTGGAACAAAACGGTCGAGGAAAGCGAGGATCTTTTGAAAGGGACAAACTCGGATGATGGCTGACGGGAAATTTTATCTGTATTTTTTTTTCCATTTCTAAGAGCCGAAGCTCGTGTTCAACAGAGAATTTAATAACAGTAATCAGAAATATTACTTTAATCAAGAAAATTACTTTGCAACTCATTTTCTTAATCCTACTCACGAAGCTGGAAGACTTGATGTTCTGATATTTATGTACGTGAATACTGTCCTTATTTTGCGTGGTCACGCAACTGACTTTATATGCGACGTAGCCTTTTCCAAGAAGTAATGAAGTTCAAACTCGTTAAATGAAAAAAAAAAAAAAGGAGTATCGAACGATTGATTAAATGGCATCAATTCTTGAGAAGGGTCGCTGTATGATGATCATTTAATTATTAATTTTGACGCTTATCCCATAATCAAATGCTTTCATCCATACCCTTACTATCGACTGAACACGACAGATTTTGCTCTGACGGAGATTTTGATTTCAGGAGTTTTAAACGATCGCCTGCAATTTTATTGCAGTATTATTAATTTTATCTTACTTTTCAATTGACATGAACACGCATGTCATGTGTTGGCATAATTTACATAATGATCAGTTTTTCTGATGATGACTCGCATCTTAGAGAGGAGAGCGAAAACTGAAAAATATAATATTTTGATTTAAATGAAAATCACGTACTTACAGCCATGAAAAATACATGAAAACTTTAAAATTCTGAATTCCGTTTTATCCCTCGTCTGAAAAGAAGATGGTCCCGTGATCTCCTAATGTATCATTAGAGTGATACCATTGGGTAGTTACTCAGAAAGTGTTTTCACGTCATTATATCCATATGTTCAAATATACTAGATGTATTTCTTTAATACAGTTGTAAATATCATTAAGCAATAATACAAAAATCCGTTTTATAACATTTTTTTGTCTTAAACGCAAATTAATAATTTGTGTTTATTGTTGATTGTACTGAATAATTAAAGAGAAGGATGGTGATCAGTCAAATTAAAATATCAAAAATAAATAATTTTATTTATTTTTACATTCGCCTACGTTTCGGCCCGAAGTTCAGGGCCGAAAAAAAGAACTAGATAAGAATAGGTAAAATAACATTGATTAATACAGAATTAAGATTAAAAAGGTGAAAGATTTAGACTAATAATTTTAAGTAGAAAAACATAACATAAAATGAAGTCGATAGAATGAACTTAAAGTAAAACAAAGTAGGTAGAATGATAACAGTAACAGATAAGACAAAATATATAATAGTAACGGTAACAAAGTACAAACCAATGAAATAAGCATAATAAAATATAAGGTGACATAAGAAATGGAAATGATAATTTATAATAAAGTGTAAAAAAGAGAAAAGAAATATGAAGTTATTTAAGTTATTATTTATAATGTGCAAATTAATAACTTGCAGATAAGTGTTGACACTCCTCAGCCATTGAATTGCTGCTAAGTGAGATTCCTCAGTAACTTGTGTATTTTTAAAATTTATTTGTTAACTACTAACCATTTTCTAATTTTTTATTTTATTTATTTATCCAATAATATAAAAATCTGTTACACGAACAATAATTATAGTGAGGTAAGAATACATTCACACCATATATACACAAAAAATAATATAAACAGAAACATTGATGGATTGAGATGTCAGTTGCGGTGTAAAGAATAGGGCCTAGGATACTACCTTGAGGAACACCAGCAGACTGGGAAAAGAGGAATGAATAGGCATTATTTTGGTTTACTTTGAAGTATCTATCAGTAAAGTAAAAGAGGATAATGGAAAATTATGTATGTGGTAGCAATTTAGTGAGTTTGTTCAACAGTCTCGGAAGCCAGACTCTAGCCTAAAAATTATAATTATTTTAAGATAGAGGATCACTTGACCATTATTACTTAATATTATTTACGGGCGATTATCTGAAATTTTCAGTGCAGTAATTGATCGACTGGATAGTGTTATGTTATGTAAAAAAAGGTCTCATACAGTAACAAAATCTGTCCGAAGCGTTTTACCATTTACCGTTGATAGTTTATTTTACCAATAAACTATTAGCATTTATCTATATTCGGCATTAGTTAACAATATGAGTAAAGAAACTGATATTTTGGAAAAAAAAATGTATGTCGAATTATCATTCGTTTACTTTGTCCGAGCCCAACCTTATCGAGTTTTCAGACCTTAGATGTCAAAAATTTTAAAACTTACAATATGGAATTATTAACAATTCATGATCGATAAAATAACCCTTTATTAGTGCCTGATTAAAAGTAAGTTGAAAAAACGTGTGTCAACCGTTTAGTTAAAGTGTCCAACCCTCGATTTTTTTCTTCGCTCGTTATGCTTTTCCTCGTATGGTCATATTTCCCTTCAATCGGAGGGTAAACTAACATGTTATAAGTTCTGTTGCTCTTCAAAACTATCTTTTCAAGTTTTATCCATGTGCAAAGACATCTGTGATTCTGAAGCGTATTTCGATTTGTCGTTCTTACGACAGTATTAAACAATTCCGAGATTTTACAATTTAGTTTTTAATTCTTCTATCTAAAACTTGATGAATCGGTAATTATTTTTACATGTAGCTTGTTGAAAAAAATCAATCCTTAAAAAAAAAACACTTGAGATTTGTAATTTTCACACTTGACATTTGTTCACTCGTTTAATAAGCTTTATTTTCATATTGATAAAATTGAGGTTTATTAAGAAAACAATTTGAGATTCACCTCAACATGTGTTAAAAAATTATGTGTTTTTCTACACTGTCGCCTAAAAGTGCTCATGCTTTCAGCAAAAATTACTACAATAAATTATTGGAAATTTTTAATTTTTTTTTCGATGACCTGAGATGCAAAATAAGAAATTTTTTTTCTCTTCATATTTTCATTCACACCTGTCATAGTCTTGGCAATAAGCAGATGTGATGTAAAAGTAATGGAAGTTGGCATTTTAAGCATGAGGGAGAATAGTACACAGCAGCACCTCTTCCTGGTCTTGGTTTACTTCCTAACTTCAGGAAAGGAGATCTCACATCCAGCTCCTCTTTAGTCGTGTCCTGATGGGCATTTCAGCTGTGGCCATGTCTTCAATAAGTCCGTTGTGATGTCCGTGTAGTTTAAGATTAAATCGGGAGTAGAGAGTACGTATGTGCTGGTCGATAATTAGTTCTCGAACGTCGGTATGTAAGGTCTTGTTTACGTACCAAGGAGCTGATGTTATTAGTCTTAAAGTGATTTTACTTTTAGTAATTGCGTCTTTTTTGCAGAATCGTAAATTTGTGAGGCGTATGTCCAAATGGGTTTAAGTAGGTAAGTGTATGTGTTTAGTTTTTGTCTGATTTTCAGTTCTGATTTGGAAAAAGTGAGAAAAATTTCTGTAAGTCCTTTTTTTTTCGATGACCTGGAATGTGAAATAATAAATATAAACGTAAAAACAAACTTTTTACTTCTGAAAATAATAAATTATGGTTAAAATAATGATTTTTCGATTGTTAGTTTTGCAATCATAACAATTCATTCAAGTTCGATTAATTGGTTTTCTGAAATGTTTTTCCTGTTTTCTCTACGATTTTAATGAATATACCTGAACTCGAAGGAAGACCTCCCTGCTTCTCCATAAAATACATTATTAAGCTGTTTACCTCCAAGCCCTGCACGTACTTCATTAAGTAGCCAGCTTAAGCCTAAAACAAATAATTGCGTATTATCCTACTTATGTTGAGAAATATTCTGTTGTGTCGAAGCCCTGGAAATCCCCAGCATCCCGAAAGGTAAGGGACTCTGATTGTAAACAAAGAGCCGCTAAAGACAAACCATCCGATGACAGCAAACAGAAGTCAATGGCCATTTTCTCTGATGAGCAGTTCTCCAGGGACCTGGAATTCTCGAAGGAGAGTTCCGCTGGAAGTATCTTTGGTTCCTTGATGTTAGCCATTGATTGATATTTCCGGTGGATTCTGTGTTGTCTTCATTTTTTAAATATTCTACTGGAACATTCTAAAATATGATGAAGACTTGTTAACTGTATAAAAAAAATATATGCTTGGAAAAGTTATTCATTATTTTCAATAATACAATACGGCAGTATTTTTCTTAATCTGATTGGCCATGGTTTTAACCTGATCACGTATGATTCGCTTGTTAAATTCTTTTTAAATTTGAACATTCATAAAATTCTAAGTGATTCTCATTTTATAGGCAACCTTTAATCTATTCATTTAGTTAAGTCTAGCCTGATTTTTCCCCTTGCTAATGTTTTTAAACTGATAACATTAAAAAAATGTTTGTTTTAGTAATTGCATAAGCTATTGCAATACCATAACCACGCTTTACCCACTCTCGGTTTCTTAGTAAGCATGTTTGTTCCATTTGTAACCTTTATTAAATGGTAGTGAAATTACTCATACATGAAAAAATGACCATTTTGAATCATATATATATATATATATATATATATATATACAGCCATTAGTAAATTGATATTTTGTACGGTTTTTTTCATAGAAATTTCTTAGAAAAACAACATAATAATAAAAAATGTTCGTTACCGCTTTCAAACTTTTTATAATATAGTTAATATAATTTTATTTTTCTGAACCTTGTCATGTTCATTCGATTTTATTTTATTGAACATTAATACAATCCGCCACATTGAAAGGCATCATTATTAGGACTACAGTAATCATTCCCACAATATGTTCATACAAAAGGGAAATACACATAAATAATTAAAATAAAGAAAAAAGAAAAAGAAATTAATTAAATAAAATAAAATAAGGTAATTAATATACATATGTACGGAAAATAAAATAATAGATAGAAGCTGAATGCAATTAAAATAAATAAAATACATTCACACCTACGTATAATGTTTACATTCGCCCAATAGACTCTGAGTCATGGTTTGTCCACCAATTGTGGAAGCCAAAGAAGGACTCCGGGAGATCCCAGTGCTTTTCTCCCAGTCAAGTCACTGTAAGACAGTAAATACTGAAATGTTATGTTCTTTAAAAAAAAAAATGTTTCTATGGCTATTTACAATTTTTTATACATAGAGAGCCTTCAGTACAGTTCAATCTTTGCCTAATTCTACTTATTTCATTACTCTTAGATATTTAAAAATATATATTAAGCTCAAATTGATCGTAATTAAATTTAAATTTCCTGCGAAAATAAATGTTTTGTAACTGGAGACTTGTTAAGATCATTAAATTAATGTCAGTATAATTTATAAATATTGATTCAATGTAGTCATAATTATAAAAATATATCATAAAAATTACAAAAGGGATTTTCTTGAATACTGATAAAAAATAAGTTCAATTCAATCTTTCTAAATTGTCCTATTTTTTTTTTTTTATTGATCAGAAGTTTTCATTTATAAAGTATTTTTATAAGTTAACTCCCATTACTTAACATATTTAGCATGCTATGTCTTATGAGGCAGTATAGCTCCGACTAGGTCCCGAAGTCCTACTAATTTCCTAATTTGCTAAACTAATAATCCAAAGCGGGTCAGCATCTAATTCCAACAGCTGCTCAGCTCATCGGCTCGCTTTAGGAATCCTACCCACGTAACTGCCCGATGTCCTCATTCATTCCGAATATGGAACAAGTTCTTCTTCTAATATGTTTTTACATACAATTAAACACGATACTTTAAATTAAAAAATACATATATGATTATGCACTTATCAAAAACCCATTTTAATTTCATAGCTTTTTACTTTACATTTAAAAGATTTTTATTTACATTTAAAAATTATTATTTAACATTTTAGCTCCAAGAATTATTTTCAAAAACTTTTTCCAACTTATATCAGCCACAATCAAATTCCTCAGACGGACACTGTTCATTACCTACTTTTATTCGACAGAAGGATAACCTGGAGCCCACATGTCAAAATGAAACGAAACACTTTGAACAAGCGAGTGAAAACACTATACTCACTTTTTCCAAATCAAAGTTGAAAATCAGATAAAAAGTAAATATGCACTTGACTGTTCAAACCCATTCGAACATACGCCTCACAGATTTACGATTCAGAAAAAAAGACTCACTAACAAAAACTACAATCTTTTCAGTCTAAAATTTCAAAACTAATAACTGCAACACGTACGTCAACAACAAAAATTACATATTGACCTCAGACAACCAACTTAAGACCAGCACATACGTACTCTCTACTCCTGATTTCATCTTAAATTACACGGACATCACAACAGACTTATCAACGACATGACCAAGGCTGACATGCTCATCATAAGGTGACTGAATAGGAGCTTGATGAGAGATCTTCTTTCCTTATTTAAAGATGCAAACAGACCAGAGAAGGGTTGCTACTGGGTACCATTTTTCATCATGCCTAACATACCATTTTTTTTACCTAGCAACACTTCTGCTAATTGTCACTACTACGGCAGGTGCGGATGGAGATTTAAAGATAAAAAAAAGTGTTTTGGTCTTTCAAAAGACAAATTAAATTATACATTTAATAATTCATGTTTTTAAAAATTTAGTACACTTCTTTGTTGTTGTCTACTATATTTTATGTTCTAAATGTCTGAACTATTTTTAAAAGCGATTGCTCAGGAATGCCCATCCGCTCCAAGATCAATGGTGAATAAACCTCCCTCTTTCCTCCCAAGATATTTTATTGCACTCATCTTAAAATCAGTACAAGCTAAAGTAGAATTTTAAAAATCATAGGTCATATACAATTACACTTTCAGTGGTTTGTTCTGTACATTCCTCATGTCCCGTGTTTTGAAACTTTTCATTTCGAAAAATAATAACCCAGCCGAAATGTGACCCCCCAAAAATTAAAGATCTCGTCAAAATATGTTTCCTTCAAACAATTTTATGGCATAACTCGCGCCATAAAACCCCCTTCTGGGTATCTCTGCATTTACTTGCTCCTTAGCAGTATATGCTATTTCAAGTCAGTGATTATAATTGTAATTGTCTAACTAGTTGTAGTTTGCTTTAATCTACTTAATTTTTACAACCAAAAGAATTTTTTCCGAAATAAAGCTTCATCTACTCTTTTTGAATTTTGGGCCAAAGACCTTCCTAAATGTGAGGTAATCTTATAAATGGCTCTTAATCCGCTCTAATCCAAAGTAAAAGAAAACAGTTCCTAACCCTCTAAGTGCTGGGAGTTTGCGTTGACCACCGTTTAATGGGCAAGCCAACACAAATAGACCACTTTTTTTTTCTCTTTAATCCCTCACTTAGATCTGGATTAATAATGATTATTCACCAGGACCCCATTTATACAGACATAGAAATCTAAAACTCTCCAACGTTTTAATATTTAATATTAGTTTATAGTCATTTATTTAAATAACTAAAACCTTGTAAATGTGGAACGATGCATTGAACAGTGACAAAGAAAAAGTAATACATGAACAACTTTTTTTTTTTATGATATTTACAACTGTATTGATAAATAAAATATATTTAGTAAATTTCATAACAGAAAATAATAACATGACATCACTTATTGAGGAAATATCTATTGGTAGCACTCTAATAATATCTCTACATTAGGAGATCACGGGGCCATCTTCTTTTCAGACGGTTCGGAGGGTCATCAGGAATTAAATAGGATGCAAGGCTAGAAACAGACAAGAGGGTTGTGATGGTTATGAAGTTTATTATGGAAGGATATATATCTGGATTGGGCCAAATCTCAAGCACAAGGAACTTTAAGGTTGTTACGGATTATTTTATTGGTGACAAAGTAAGGAGCAGTGAGGATTTTCTGAAGGATTTTGGATTGTAAGGATTGGATACGAGAGGAATTCGATGGCTTAGTGGAGTCCCAAAGCTTTACTCCGTAAGTCCAAATAGGGCTTATTGTAGTCATGTATATGAGTCTTTTGTAATTAACTGGAAGCTTACAGAGTAGTCGGAAACGTTGAGCGGTTTCTTGTCATTTCAGTCTAGTATGCGGATTCCAAGTTAGACGTTTGTCCAAGTGGATTCCATGGTATCGGATTTGTTCAACCGGGATAAGTGGGATATTATTAAAGGATACTGTAGGACAGGACGTCATAGCTTTACGGCGAAGGGTAAAAGTGATTTGATGGGATTTATTAGAATTTATTTTAATGCTCTAGTTATAAACAACTTAAATCTGTAATCGATTTTACAAAAAATAAATAAAACGTATGTACCGGAATTCCATGCAATATAAAAGTAAAATTAATGTTATGATAATCGTCCAAATGTTTTGTGAAATATTTAATAACAGAAATCTTAAAATTCTATGGGAAATCAAGACCAATTTTCGAGAAAATAATGCTCACATGTAAATTAACATTGAAAATTAACTTATAGGTAGTTTAAAAGACATATTTATGTGTGAAATAACTGTCAAATTATGCTATACATACTCTCTCTCTCTCTATCTTTTTTTTTTTTTTTTTTTTTTTGAAGGAGAGATGAAATACAAAATTTCTTAGCGGTTTTTATAATCGAAACAAAATGTCCCAATTAAATCAAATTACAATAGTGCCTATTTATTTGGTACATAGGTATTTGGGGGGCCTGGGTGGCCGAGCGGGCTAAAGCGTGTGCACAACACCGTGCGTTTTCAGGCAACCTGATAACTGTTAATTAAAAGTTAATTACGAGTTCGCGTCCTGGTGCCAGAGTGTCTTTTAACTCTAGCATTAATCTCCCGCCCTCACCACCTAAAAAAAAAAGAAAAGAATGTAGCACCTTTAATTACGTATTTATCATAAAATTTTAACTAAATTTGTACTTCGTGTTCTATTCAGGCGCAGAGGCTATAATAATTGGAAGGACATGGCTGCTCTGCTGGTATAGTAGCCACCAGCGCCGTGTTATTAAATCAATGGAGTAGACCCACAATCGATTAGTGGGGGTTTAGCAGCAGTTATTTTAATTTTCTCAATTACTTTTTTTATATCAATTTTATACTTATCCGTTACGAATGATAGACGAATACTTAATAGTTTCTCATATTGCTACTTCGTCTTTTCTTTGCCTTGGTGAAGGCCGAAACTTCGACAAATATAAAAATAAACATCATATATTTGTTTTTAACCGCCTTTTAACCTCAACTGACTTCTCTTGAATTATTTTATTTTATTTTTTTATTGTATTGTATATATGGTATGAATGTGCCTCATTCAGCTATAATGACATTCAGTGTGGCGAAATGTATTATCAGAATAGAAAATAATTTTATTCTGGGACGAAGTCCCTTTAGAATAACAAAAAAAGTACAAAATTAAAATGTTATATCTGGCGAAATAAAAACAAACATAAAAAGTAAAGATAAAGATAAATAAGTAAAGAAAATATTAGTTTATACATACAATATACAAAATAAAGTAAAAAAAATCTATATAAAAAACTCTTGAAACCTTGCCAAGACACTTAAAATTATCTACAATGGTAAAATATAAATATAAACTTTTAGAAAAAATAAGAATACATTGCATTGCTCTCAGCATTAAACTCTGCGTTTCTGTTGAAAAAAAGAAAGTCGAATCTGATAAGTATTTAAGTTATGACCTATATGTGAATACATTATTATGAAGAATATGTAATTTTACATAAAGGTTAGCCGGGTATGACTGTTTTTGGGACAGGAATTGGAATAGGAGGGTTTTGAATGTAGATAGTGAGGGAGAATGCCGAATTTTGACAGGAAGGGAATTCCAAAAATTAACATTAACATTTTATTACTAAATAAAAAGATTTAAATTGAAATATATATTGAAGAATTGAAATATATATTAAAGAAGAGAGAAAACGAAAGGACTAATACCGTAAAATTTTCAACATTAAGTCCATTAAATCGATTGTTATCATTAGTACACTTAAGAGTTTTTCTAGTTCTACAGAAGATATTGCTTAAGACTTCTTCTTCTTGTACATTCTTCCTTATATGACCAGGTCAGGAACTAAAATGAAGAACTCATTAGTCCTCCTCAGGTCCCCAGGCTTTCGTATAGCTTTCTTTCCTCTTCAGTTGGAAACAGCCAGATCACTCTCTTTTAAGATTTAAATTCATCTTATGATTTATGATAATTCTTTTTTTCTTTCAGGAGCGTTCCTCATCCCCTACTGTATCATGCTTGTCTTCGGCGGGATGCCCCTCTTCTTCATGGAGCTTGCCCTTGGTCAGTTTCACCGCTCCGGCTGCCTCACCATCTGGAAGAGAATCTGCCCGGCTCTCAAAGGTAATCTCAAAGGGTTTCTTGTTTGAATGAATCATGTAGCAGAAAACTTTTTCTTGTTTGATTTAGTTCTTATCATTCTAACCAAACACTATTTCTTGTGAAAACTAATTTATGTATTTTGTACCCTGTTACACTTCCTTTTTATGCGATTGAATAGGGCATGGAATTAACAACGATGACTCTGGTTAAACTTTTTAATATGAACTTAAAATATTTTAAAAGTTTGTTTTTTCAATATTATTTTTATTTATTTTTTTCATTTTCATTTCATTTTATTATTGTTGGATATTCGTATATTATTGAATATTCTAACTTGCCGCGGGGACAAGGCGTACTGGAAAGTAGGGGGCGTGACTCGATCATCTTCACTTTAGTAGTACAGCGATCTGTCCACTCTGCTATACCGGCCCCTAAATGTCGATTTTTATACAGAAAAGTATTGAAAAAAAAAATATCCATTAATTTTAGGAAGGTTGCCAAAGTGAAATAATAATTAAGAAACAGGGTAATAGCATATACCTAGAGGTAAAGTTAAGCGCAGTTTATTTACCAACTGCACTAATAAACTTTCTTTTTTCTACTGTAAATATCAATTATTTGCAATAAGTATTTTTAAATAACTAAATATCCTAAGTTGAAACAAAACGAATAGCAGCAAAAAAATCCAATAATTTAAAACTTACCTTACTCACTATGCGCCTTACTCGCTTCTTTAAATACACTCCTTGTTTCTGATCCGGAGTAAATTATTTACTTACAGAAGACAAATACGATATAGACCAGAAACGGTTGTAATATTGGTGTTACCGGAAGGGGTCGACAATAGCCCCTGAAGAGGACCTGTTGTCAGTCGTCCAGATCATTGTCGAGTGACGATCGATTTTGCATCGCAGCATGCGGCTACAGTTGGATAGCTCATATCTGTGATCTTTAGTCCAGTAAAATTTTGACATCCATCAATTCGTCAACCGATGCTCCGGTAAATAAACTGCGAAATCCTTATCTTTCTGTTGTTTTTAAATTTGAATTTATGAAGATCAGGCTACTTTTACCAATTAGAGTCTCTCTAAATATTAACAGAATTATAATCCTCACAAAATATAAATATTCTAACATTACCTAATAAAATTTGAATTTATTAAATGAGTCAGATAATTCACGTAAATAAAATATTTTTGAATTGGTGCTGATACTTTGTTTATTTTTGTATTTTGACGATTATGTAATATTTTTAAGTTTCGGAATCTGTGATGTAAAAAGAGTAGAATTTTTCGAGTGGAGAAAAAATTGATCCATTATACAATGTCTTGAATGACTTTTATAACTTTATATTATATTGTATTTTATATTATAATGACTTTTACTGTTTGTTTTTTTTTAAGTGAAACGTCTATACATGCAATGGTAACTCGATGACATCAAATAACGGTGATGTAATACAGCTAGTCCAAAATACTTGATTATAATTTAAATGATGCGTCTCATTTACAATTTAACTATAATATATATTTTTTATGACATAAATCATATTATTTATGACATAAATATGTAATTAAAATGGTGAGTCTGGTGTTCACACACATTTTATATCGGTGTGAATGAGTTTTATAAGACCTTTTTTTATTTATTCAATTTTTTTTTTAGTTTTTGTATTTAACTTTTGTGTTATCTACAGATTTTGTAACCATTATCTATTTATATATATTCTTTAACTTGTGAATTTGTGAAGTCACATATGTATTTTTACATTCTTTACTATTACTTATCATCATTTTATATTTTGTTTGTTAATTTTTATTTACTTTGTTTTATTTGTCCTTGATTTTGACAGATTGTAATATTTCTGAATAACTAAGTAAAAAAAGAATTAATATATTTTTTATTTATTTTTTAATTGTCCTTAATTACGTTCATTTATTTTGCTTGTATATATATATATATACATATGGATACTTTTAGCTCTAATGCTTATTGCCCATGAGTGTGGCAGATTATGTTAATATTTAATAAATAAAAAAAACCAGAGGTTGGAGAAGAAAGACATATTTTGATCCACTATTTCAACATTCATTTTTCCTTAACATATTACAGGAGCTTGTTTCTAAAAATGTTATTAAATTAAAATAAAGTATTATATATAATATGTTATATGTAATTAATTACATGTAATATATATATATACTTATAATACGTATACCTTTACGCGTAATTGAAGTATAACTTTTTGATATAAATTAACTATGAATAACAATAATTAATAAGCTTCAAATTCAATTAAATTCACAGTGGCTCAATTAAGAAAACGAATTGCATGCTAAAACATTGCAAACTTGTCCTAATAAAGTTTTTTTTCTATTTTTGTTTTATTTTTTTGTTAAAAGAGCTCTAAATTTGTTTGAATAATAAATATTAACAGCAGGCACTGAAAAAAATATATAGATAAATTAATTATAAAAATTTTTTTGTAGGATTCATTATTTTTTTCAACTCAAGATAATTTCTTTTATTATATTTTTAAAAAATAAATAAAATTAACTTATATATTAATCAAATTATATATTAAATTTATCGGTACCGTTAATATGTACTTCTCGAAGTTATTGCTATGTCAAAAGTACAGATGGGAATCACTAGCTCAAAATAAGGTGAATATTTTTGTAACTTTCTCTTTCTGTGATGAAAATATCCCTTCTGTGATTACACCTGTCAGTAACCTGCGCAATGGAGGAGAAAACAATAGGAAAGAGAGTAAAGGAAATCCCTCGAGGTCTTAAGAAACTTCGATCAAACCTCTTGAGGAAACCGATATACAACGTATTCGGAACCCTGGATAAAGATATGACACAGTTGTAAGGTATGACAAAACTTAACTTGAAACTGTCTGTCATGTTTATTTCAGAAAATTTCTTACTGATTTTCAAAATACATGAGATTTATAAAGTTGGTATACAAAGCTATTAAATGATTTGATGGATGGGAAATGAGAAGTGACTTACAAAAAAAAAATCTATTTTTAAAAACATCTCTTAAAACCACTTTATATACAACGGTTATCATCAGGGAAGAATCTGAAAATAAATTAGATTTCTGTAAATTTAAAAGAAGTATTTGTGTTCCTTCTAGGAATGTTGGAAAAAAATCAATAATGTAATAAGTACATTGATATTCATTTTTGTTTTATTTGGACATATTTGCGATACATACAAACCTTCCATATTAAAATTTGACTTCCTAATATATATATATATATATATATATATATATATATATATGTATTTTTTTTTTTTTTTGTTTAATGAAATTATCTTCTTTTTCGTCGTTCTTTATCTCCTTTGCCTTTTAGCGTTGATGTGCCTCGATCCATGAATCCCAAGCATTTCGGTCCTGAGTTAGAACCCTCATATCCCTTATCCGCATACCTCTTTTCTTCCCGATCTGAGAGATATACTCCATCCACGACAATCTAGGTCTTCCTCTCGGGCGCTTTCCTATGGTTTTTGCATCCATGAATTTTCGTGGGTCACGGTCTTCATTCATTCGTCATGTATGACCAATACTGCCTCTGTTCTATAGAATCCTTTAGTGAGGCAGTGCCTAGTTTCTCTCTTATTTCTTTAATTTCTGATCCCATCTCTCCTGGTTTGGTCGGCTGCCCTTCAAGATATTTCATTTCAGTATCAGTAACTCTGCTAAGGTGTTTGGTTAATGAGACTGAGCCTCCATTTCCATACATAAGTGTTGGTAGATATGCCGCTTGAAAAATACGTATTTTTACATCCCTCTCTACCTCTCTCTTCCCAAAGATTGTGTTGCATAAACTGTAATACACATCATTGGCCTTTTTAATCCTGTTGGAAATTTCATGGTCGACCCTTCAGTTCTTGTTGTTATAACATATCTTGCACCTAGATATGTGCTGTCCTCCACCATTTCTAGTGCCTCCCCTTTGCAATAAATTTCAACAACCTCCTGATCCCGTCTAATGTCCATCACTTTGCTCTTTTCGACATTAATTGCCACATTTCATCACCGCTTGTTTCATATTTTGAGTCTGATATGAGAACGATGTCTTCTGCAAAGACCCTTACTTGGGAAAATGTCGTCCTCATGTTTCACTTTCCTACAACTGTTCGTCGATAACAAATCTTTAAACTTTCGTCCATAAATATAATGGACAGTACAGGGCTCAAGTTGTCTCCTTGCTTTTCGCATTTCCCCCATGGCAAAAATATCAGACTCTGTCCTTTGAGTCCTGGTACATGGACCTTATAGCATCAATCAATCCTCGCGGAATATTTTTGTCCGTCAGAGCCTTTCATAGTTCTTGCCTATAGATGAAATTATCAACTTTTATAAATTTCAGTCAGTATTAATTAAATTTTGATTTTTTTCATCACTTTTTATTATTATTATTTTATTTTATTTATAATTTTTTTCTAGTGCTTAGTCATATGTATTTTGAATAAGAAACATAAATGATTTATTAGGGCCTTTAGTAATTTATTTAATACTTATTTTCTTCTTCCCTTTTTTTATTTTTATTAATGTTTAAGCAATTTAATTGATTTTTTTTGTTCATTTTCTAGCAATAAGCCATTTTTATTTTTATTCGCAAATTTTAACAAATTTATGCTTCATTATGATAAGCAATGCATGCGAATAGTTTTTGCTTTTTGAGGTCTTAAAAATATAATTTTTTTGTTAACTTCAGTTCGAAGTTTGAAGAATATTTAAAAAAATTTTTTTTTAACTTTTAGAGCTGAAATATCAATTTTTGTAATGTTATTTTTTTTTTTTTATCACCTCTTCTCGCAGCATTAGGACTGTTCTAAGCGATAAACTATAATCGTTTGGTTCTCTTCTTATGTAGATGATATCTAGGAAGCACTTGGTTTATAATAACCGGACGCCATCACAATCACTCCCTCTTCATCAGGATGGTTGATAACCTTTTACATACGTCTCTATCCTTTTGTTGTTTTTTACGGGATACGCCCAACCCCCAAATCTGGAGAACCAAAAGAGCTATGTTATTAGACACAGGGGTCGCTCTCACCTTCCTATGAATCTCAGGATGGGGACGACACCGCGCTGTAGCAGTTCTAAGCAATCGATTAGGGACTGCACTTATTTATTTATTATTAATTATTTATATTTTTATCTTTTTTTTTATTTAATCCCGCGAATGGGATTTAAACTCGTAGCATACAATTTTTGCATGCGCCTTAACTCACTGGACCACCACGGCCCCATTTTCGTAATGTAATAATCTAATTGTAATTAGTGTTGCCCAAATGCGAGACCGAGGCGAGTCTTGGTCTTGCAAACTTAGTCTAGATCATGGTCTTGGTCTTGCGCAAGACTCTCGCAGCAGTCTTGCAGTTACTTATTAGCTTATTACTATACAGATATTACTGTATTTTTTTAGATAGGAGAAACCTAACTAAGCCAGAATGAAAAATTAGAGGAGTTGAATGTAAAAGTATATTAGTTATATCAAATATTAACATACAGTAACTAAGATTGTCAAGTATTAGGAATTTTTTTTGATCAATTTTGATTAAAAAAATTGATTTTTTTTTTGTCAGTCCTGGTCTTGGTCTTGCAACAGTTAAGCGGCCTTGGTCTTGGTCTCGAAAAGTGCAAGACCAAGACCGATTTTGGGCAACACTAATTTTAATGTATATATCGATAGGAATCTTTAATAAATAATATTATACAGCTAGTTTTTTCGATATTTACAACTCTAGTGGCTCAAGTTCTTAAAGGCTCTTTAAGGCCATTAAAATTTTCTAGAATGACTAAGGATTGTTTTAAATAATTTTGCTCAACCAGTTATGACATTTTATTAGTGATTTCAGTAAGAAATAAAAGGTATTAATAGATTCGTTGACTACGTACTTCTTGATAATGCACCTCTAACAAACCTAACGCTGCCACACTTGTTGCCGCTATGCCGACTTAGAGTGGCTTTATTACACTTTCAATGGCAATACTTCCTTTTTGTCGCTTTCATAAGAGCCAATAAACCTCTCTGTTTTCTCGATCTTCTCTCCTTCTGCCCTCTATCCACTTCTTGAATACAGGATCACAATCCCCCTCATAGGTCACGTTCTTTTAGAAAATCCTTTATCACTGTATGTTACCTCCTTTTGAAAAATTACCTATTCCAATCTTTAAAGCGTTTCCTTGGGTTACATTTTTTTTTTCGCAACCCCGCTTATAAATTCTCATTTAGTTTTAACTCCTCTTATAAACCTTTTGTTATTTCGTATAATCAAAAATAAAAAATTACAACAAAATAAACTTTCACTTAATTTTCCTTTTCTTAGAAGAAGATCTTACTTCATTTCTAAATTAATCTAAATGGCTAACAAATTTAAGTAGGTGCTGCAGAAAATAAACAACTTCATCTGATGGTACCTAAGGAACTAATCTACTGTATCTAAGTTACTTTTAAAGACTCTCAAATTAGGACCTTATTACTGAAGTGAATACTTCTTTAGACACGTTTTGCACTTCTTTGTGGAGAGTGAATTAGATTGTACCGTCAGATTTCGGATGTGTGACGCTGGAATAAAGTCGGCGGGAGTCGACTTATTAATGTGTTCTTTTTAAATATGCATTAAAATATCTCAAAAACTAAAATTTGGACTTGCATATTGTTAGCGAGAGAATTTTTCTCTATTATTGTATTGTTAATAATTTAATTTAACTCTGTTATTGTTCTCTATATTATTGTTGACTATTATTCAAAATTTCACCATAACGCGACGGCGTGTTAGAGAGGCGAAAACAAAAAAAATAGCGTCTAAAACCAAACGATAAGGAATTTTATGGAAGATATGGATTAAAATATCTCAGAAACTAAAAATCGGACCTGTATACTGTAAGCGAGGGAAATTTTCAGCATTTCATCCTCTTTATAATGAGCTATTATTTATAATTTGTACTTCATGTTATAAATCTCGCCTTGAGGATACTTTCACTTCTACCGTGTGGTCTATAGCACACAACTAAACTAAAAACACACATTGCCATGCCCACCATGCCAAATTCATATATTCTTTTTTAAATTAAAACGCATGTACTTTAGCTTCTAAACGTAAGCACGCGTCAAATAAAAATATATAAATTTTATCACTTAAGGCTTTGTAAAGGATCTGATTCTCGGATTCTATTTTTATAAAAGTCTTTACAAGTCTTGTGGTTACCAATTGTAATTGTAATTGTGATCATTACGAAGCAGGTACTAATTGAATAAAATAATATTCTTTTTCCATTGAATAATAAGATTTATTGGATAGTCCTGAATATGACAGATAAATCGAGAAAAATAATGGATTCTGTCTCTCGTTTAACATTCTTTGTGCAAGCTTTTATAAAAAAATTGAAATATCGGATATTTTCTTTCATGTCCATCAGCTCTGAGATGATTCTCAATGTATATTGAAAATAAAGGCATAAACAAAAATAAAAAAAATAACCGAAGCATTTATATTATTTATCAAGTATTGACATCCTTATAATTTGTTATATTTCAAAATATTATTTTTATTCATTTATTGAGCAATATAAAATTCTGTCAGTTGGACATTTTCAAGAGAGAAATAAGATCTTCTCACTATATGTACAAAAAAAAAAAAAAAAATAAACAGAAGCAAAATAACAATAAGTAATAATCAAAACGTATATACAATAAATAAAATAAAATTACATAAAAGTAAGTAAATTAAAAAAAGCACAAGACACATACATACCTATATACACTATTTACAATCAGGCGAGGGAACTCTGCGGTAGGCAATCGGGTCAAATTTCTGATAAGCAGCTTTCGAGGGATCTATACATTTCAGAGCCCCCTGAGTCCGAAAAACAAATTTTTAGCCATTGGTCTGTCTTTCTGTCTGTACCAAGATTTTCTCGGGAACTACCGACCGATTTTGTTGCTTTTTTTTTATTTTGTAGGGTTTTGACTACTGATGCCTGTGACGGAAATTCGGTGCTGCATGCGCAATACCTTACGCGTAATAAATGAAAAACATGTTTTTCTATAGACTGTAGGGCGAAAAAATCCAAACGATTTTGACGATACTTGGTAATGAGGTTCCCTACAAAACTATATCAAATCTGTTACCCGCATCACACAAGCTTCACTTTTTCCTCTACTTTCAACAGAAATTATTGTTTGACAATACTAAGCTATGGCAAAAAGTTTTTGATCAGCAGTGTTAGAGAGTATTGAAATATTTACGCTGATCTACCTTAAGCCGGTTTACATTGCTTTAGTTTATCAAATAAATCGTACTCAAATCTTTTCTTTGAACAATTTTCAGGAAAATAAGTCTAATTCAATTCTTTTTGTTTCTAATATGTAAATATATAAAAACTTTCCTGGACTAGGTAGAAAAGTCGTGTGAGTGGACACACCAGATATTTTTTTTTTTTTTTTGGAAATCCAAATTTA